ACCAATGGGAGGCCTCGAAAAGTCGGGGTGAAGGGGGTGGGGGAAGGGCGGATGTTAGGTTGCTATGACGCAACCCTCCCGGCCAGGATGTTAACTCTTGAGCTGCCGCGGAGGCGGGGGTGACGTGGGCAAGGAGAACCCCCTTCTTCGCCCGGCTCGGAGGAAGCACCGCCGGGCCCCGCGGCACCCTTCGGGGACCAGGGCCCGAAAGGCGTTCGGGTGCCTCGGGGGAAGCCCTGGAAGGAGAGAGGGGTGGGGGTCGGGCTGGAGGGCCAGGTCTTTCGGGGAGGATGGCGGCTGTTCGCAGCAGGAAGCAGGCGGGAAGGTCCCTTGGGCGCTTCCAGGTGACTTTTGTGCCGCCACCTTCTCCCGCGTAACAGGTCAGGAGGACCGCGAGGCCCCACCGAGCCGAATTGCAGGGCTTGGTTTTTAGGCCCTGCAAAGGCTTTGTCATCTAGACTAGGTAGCCTGGCCTGACTCTGCCTTTACCCGCCCTAGCCTGGCATTAAAACGAGACCCCCACCCCACCCCCATACACGAAAGGAGGGTGAAAATGTGGGGCTTCCTCGGTGGAGCTTGTTTCCAAAGGGTGACCTTTATTCTCCCCTTTAAAAGGTGCCCCTGGGCCTGTTGTGATCGGCCAGCAGTAGGGCTTCTCCTTCCCCTTTTTTGCCGTGTAGTGAGGTAGGATAGCAAATGGACGGCAGCTGAAGGGAAAGGGAAAGTGCGGAGCCAAAATCAGGCGGCTGTCACCAGATGAAGACTGGATTGGAATAAATAGTGGCCATGAGGAATATAACAGCATGCCACAAAACCTAGGCACAGCCCTGCATTGGGACTTATTCTGTGCTCCTGTGCTATGACAGGTATCAATCAACCAATCAATCAATCAAATACTGTACCTTCGGACTGGTATGAAAGGCAGATGTTGAATAGAAAGGAAGGATAATGTATAGTATTGCTGAATAGGGAGAGATGAATTGCAGGGTTAAAGCAGTGTACTGACTAGGTCAGTCCTGTGCAAACTAAAGCAAGTCCAGATGACTTGCTTTCATGTGAACATACAGATCATTGGCCGAGACTTTGTAGCCTATTGTAAAGTTGCACAAGAGTAGGGCAATTGAATATGGAGATTTGGCAAGTCAAGTCTATAAATTCTATTGATTCAAATCGGCCTCCTCTTGTGCAACTTAGTACACTAAGCAACAAGTTTCATGCTGTTGTAGACTTTAAGTGATTTAGATCCAGCTGGAACAGAAAGGGTGATAGACTTTTTAAGGTTAATAATAACCTACAGGGACTATCCTGTGCTTGTATTTAATCCTAACTCTGCTAAAAAACAAAACAAAACAATCCCTTTTCTCTTGGAAATAAAATCTCCAAGAAAGGTGAGTTCACAAACATTCGCTTAGTGCATTTATATACCCCTTTACACTCAAGATGTATTACAATTCAAAATATTAACACAAAAATATAAGCTACAACTGACAGAATGAGCAGATGGAATAATCTAATCTACAACTGGTTACTTGAACAATTAAACAGCAGGATCAGGCTTGATATTGTCCTTCCTTGGCCCTGAGAAGTTGAGGAAAGAGTGCCTGAGCTGAATTCATTGCAGTCATAGACAGATTTCCTCAACCGCTGATGGGATGAACTTTTAGCCCTGTGTGTTCTCTGTATGGCCTCCCACAGCCTCTCATGGGAACTTATTTCAGAACTCAATCCAATTTCTGTGGATGGGGAGCTTCCTAAGCTTCAGAATATCATTTTTTCCTTTTAAAACCACCAAATCAATTTGACAGCTTGGGGAGGTCCACAAAACCAAGGCTGTTTGGCCTGATACAGATGGAAAGAGTGCATACAGTAGTGCTGTTATACAGAGACTGGAGTTTGTATCACCTAAAACTACTCTCCTGACACTGTAATTTTGCATACACTTACTCACTACGCATGTTTAGCAAACAACAGCCTCAGTTTGAGGTGGTATGTGTAAGTTTGGGCAATATAAAAGAGCATATCCCTGCTACAGAAGGAAATACCGATTGAGTAAAGAACTTTGCAGTGAAGAATTGCACTGAGGGAGAGCATTTTAAAAGCATTTACCTGTGAATAAGTCCCGTTGGGGTTTACCAGGTATGCTGTAGCTTTTTAATTTCATTTGCCACCCCATTCAGGAAATTTCAGGATGATGTCAGGATGATTTCATTCACCAACGGATCTCCCCTCCCCCTTTGGCTATAATTTGTTTACTCTTGCCAGCTGAAAAGCTGTAACTAATCTGAAGCCGCAGCCAAAATATTGCCAGAATAACTGTCATAGTACAGGTCTGTTGCCAAAATGGGAAACTAATTGCAGAAAATGGAACTGGCAGGATGACCCCCTTCGACTTGAGTAGATCTGCCTAGGACTGGGCTGTTAGAGTTCGGTTGCTTCAGTGTTAAATCAGTGGTTGGTTGATGGAATTGGATTTGGTATATAACCATGAGAATAATGATTAAGCAAACAACTTTTTATTAAGTTTGAAAAAAAGTTTATCTCTAATAAGACAGCACTATCCTTTCCCTTGAAATGTAACTCTTGGCTGCCTTTGTTCTTAAACAGAGGAGGCTTGAGAGACGGTTGTTTTAATGTATTCATTCACATAGATAAAAAGTGGCAGATGTTTTTGTGGTCTTTGACCTTTCCACTGAGGAAGTACTTCCGTTTCTTAGAGACTTATTTTCTTTCATTCAGAGATGGACTCCAAAGGAGGGAGTTTCCTTGGCCTCAGTTCCTTTTCTTTTGTAGCCTGGAAAACTGTGCTAATATTGATTAACTTTTCCTCCTAGGTCAATACCCTACGCAGCCTTCCTACCCAGTTCAGCCTCCTGGTAATCCCTCAGTGTTCCAGCAGACCATACCTCTTCCTCAGGCTCCACCGTATACCGAGGCGCCTCCTGCTTACTCAGAAGTATGTAATCTGCTCTGTGATATGAAAAGACAACATGAACTCTGCTTGATCAGACAACAGGTTCTTTTTGCTTATAAGGGCTGCAGCGGTGATTAACAATGAACATAACAGAGTAGATTTGATTTAAATCAAATTGATTTAAAAATCAGATTTTATAAATTAATTTTTGATGATTTAAATTAAAAAAGGATTTTATTTAAATTGTAATTTAAATCAATTTGATTTTTTTTAAAAAAAATCATTGATTTTTATACTAAGGGCATGTTGTTCTAGCTGAATATTATCTACTAATCCACTTGATGACATTTTGAACATTCAAAAGCATGTTTCCAAAGCATGTCTTAGTTCTTGTGAGGACCTTTTATGAAGTTTCACATAGTATCAGCTAGGTGCACAATAGTTGCATGTCCGAATGCTTCATCTTAACCCCAGAGGGACCCTTCCTGGTAACCAAGATAACTTGTTCTCAAAATCTAGGCCCAAGTCATTTGATCCCATAAACTTTGGCAATGATGGTTAATACTGAAAGAGATCAGCTCATGTGTGTGGACATACTACTACACCTTCCCCTTATTGTTCCCGATTATGGTATATTTATGTAGCACTTTTGTGAACTAAAGAAGGATTGATCTGGTGCTATATCTCTGTCTTGGGTTTTGATGAGCTAGTCTATGTCCTAAACTTAACCATAGCATATAGTAGCCTGTCTTTTGACAAGGGTAGTCACTGTTGCAGCTCTTTGGCTTCCTGTTCCCTTCTGGGTATGTTTAAGGGAATTGATTTGTCCTTTCTTAGGCCACAAGCAGGTAAAGATCTTTCTCTTCAGGCAGGCTTTCCCTTAATAACTGGTTTTTAAATGAATAGTTGTGCTCTGATGTTTCAAATGTGCTTTAGTATTGATTTTCTTACTGTTTTTAATGTAATACTTGTTTTAATCCTTTTAAAATATTTGTATGTGTACTGTTTTTACCTGCTACGTATTGTCTTTTTAATTATGTAAGCCACCTTGGGTTCTTTTTAAGGAGAAAGGGGGATAAACTAGTTTAAATAAATAATAAATAACTAAATATTAGTTGACAACTGCTTTTATGGTCTACAGACCACTTCAGCAGATGCATAGATGGACTCCATATATCTGCTGGAGTGGATTTTAATTCACAAAACCTATATCAAAAAGCACTGCTTTACCTCTGAGGTTTTACAATTTTATTTTAATTTTTGCTGTTTTTTGCTGAAACAGACTTAATACTGCAGTCTCACTCACCTCTACTCAATTTAATTTTGGTGTAGATAGCTAGCCATGTAATTAGTCTCTCATTTTCCCCTTTTCATGATGGGTAGGTGCCAGATATTACACTGAGATGTGTAAAATGTTTCAGTTGTTGCCATTGCTAGTGCTCCATAAATATGCTCTCATTCATGTCCATATAGAGTCAGTAACGGATTGGATGAGGGTGAATAAATTGAAACTTAATCCAGACAAGACAAAGGTGCTTCTGGTCAGTCAAAATGCATATCAAGGAACAGGGTGCAGCCTGTGCTGGATGAGGTTACACTCCCCCTGAAAAAACAGGTGCGCAGCTTGGGGGTGCTCTTGAATTCATTCATACAAGTTTAATTCAAAATTTTGAGGGAGGAGATTAGGGCAACTGAGGGGAAAAGGTTTAGAGAAGCAAGAGGCTTCCATGACCAAAGCATACACCATTGCTCTCTTACTCCGGACATCAGGTATAAGCATGCTGGGCTGGTTACCTCTGTATATTAAGCAGGAATTAACGCATGGTTCCATATATTCAACATTGGAACTCTGTTCCAAAAAAGACACATTTGGCCGAAATTCAGAAATGGTTCTCATCCAGCTAGGAGAGGGAGGCTGGTTTTTTTTTAATGTATGTATTTATATTTGTATATATATGAGACGAGCTGTTTGAGAGAGTATTAGCTCCCTATTTTTCCTACATCTTCCAAGCCCCACTAGGCTAAAGGTGCCACAATGAAAGTACACCGGAAGCCTAAAGAGAAAGCAGAGCTAGCTGTCCACACGATGTCTCCTCCTCTTGTGGTTCCCAGAAACAATTTCCTGGGAAGACCACAATAGGCAGAGAATAGACCTTTGTCTGTTCTACAAGCTCCCTTCATGTATACTTCAATTCATCAAAAGCAGTTATATTGCCAGTGATGACTGGATATAGGGAAATGTCTTCTTGATGAGGTGAAAAGTCTCTGAATATATTTATAAAGCATTTTCTTCCCTGTGTTCTCTCTCTTTCTCTCTCTCTCTGTCTCCAATCTCGCCCCCTACCAGCTCTATCGCCCAAACTTTGTGCATCCTGGGGCTGCCACTGTACCAACCATGTCTGCCGCTTACCCTGGTGCTTCCTTGTACCTTCCTGTGGCTCAGTCGGTTGCTATGGGCCCAATGGGTTCTTCAGTTCCAGTGGCTTTCTATCCTGTGGGGCCAGTCTACCCTCCTGGATCCGCTGTCCTTGTTGAAGGAGGCTATGATGCTGGAGCAAGGTTTGCGCATGGTGCCCCTGCTAATATTCCGGTAAGTAAAACTGCTTGCTGTTCTTGTTCCTTAACCATTTGGGTCTTTTGGATGGTCTGAGAAAGGGATGTACCTCGATATCCTCCACATCAAAAAAAATGATCTTGCTCATTATTATTATTGTGTGAAAACTGAGCAGTATCTAATGATATGCCTGCTGTGCTCGCATGGTAATCAATATTTCCTCATCACTGAAAAGCTATAAGCATGAAATGATCTGTATGGATCATGAAGTGCCTCATGTACAATTAGGACCGAGTAGCCAAGAGGAGAAGGGGACGACCGAGGAGGAGATGGCTGGACAGGGTCATCGAAGCGACCAACATGAATTTGACCCAATTCCGGGAGGCAGTGGAAGACAGGATGGCCTGGCGGGCTCTGGTCCATGGGGTCACGAGGAGTCGGGCACGACTAAATCATGAAACGAGCCATGAGATTATACAAGGCAAAAGAATCTCCTGGGCTTTTTTTTAATTTGATAGAAAATATAAAATCGGTTCATTCCCTTTAATTCCAGCTAGTTCTATAAAGATGCTCTAATTTCCTCAGGTGTGCAGTAATTTTTAGCAAGGGATTAGCTGCATTGCCAAACAAAGATGATGCCCTCTTGTCATCTTTGGACTCAATTCAGTTCCTCACCCATGAAAAGAAACATAACAGACCCAAGAGAGAGTCATTTCCTCTGACCTTGACAAGCTCCTGGTGGGGATTAAATTTGGATTGGGTCAGGAGATGGGAAACCTTCACCCAGCAAAGGGCCTGAATTTGGGCCAGAAGGGATTGGGAGATGGCCCTTGTGATGACAAGATTCCTCCTCCACACTCCCCAAAGAAATAGGAGTTGGCTGCAGGGGCAAGGTGGGGGAATCCTGTTTCGCCACTCTTTTTGTTCACTTTCCCCATAGGGATGATAAATGTTGGGAGGGAATGCCCTTGTTATCTTTGGTTTGAGATGACAAGGGCATTACCTGTACAAAGAGAGCCACAGATCTCTGTCTGTTTCGGCTTGGAGGGGGAAATGATGCCAGAGAAGGGGGGGGCTAAATGACATGGTATGAGGGGTGAACATTAGCTTCCCATGACACCTGGTGATGGCTTGGTCCTGGGGGCAAATCTGTAACCTCTGGGAAATGGTCCACCCTCGATTATATGTCTCAGGGGCCTCGGCAGCTCTACAGCCTCAGCTGTGTAGAGTTAGTCTCCATGGTTCCCTTGTATCTCAGGATAATCATCTGTCCAGAGAACCTATTTGCCACGAGCAAACCTTTTCAAACACAAAATCCATGTGTGGAGTGTGGTGCAGAAGCAATGTAGTGAAACGCCTCCCATGCTGCTTAAGTTCTCGTTCTGCCGCTCTTCCTCGGAGCCCCTGTGCTGCTTGGGAGCTTCCCATTAGCCATGTTTCCTGCCAGCGTTCTTCCCCCTAACAGGTGCTTCTTCTTGTCTTCCAGCCCCCTCCTCCTGGCTGTCCTCCCAATGCGGCCCAGCTGGCTGTCATGCAGGGTGCCAACGTGCTAGTGACGCAACGGAAGGGCAACTTCTTCATGGGGGGCTCCGACGGTGGCTACACTATCTGGTGAAGGGAAAGGGGGGGGGCTACATTGGTGTAAAGGAACGACATCACATACTGTCAGCACTTCTCACAATGTAACCGCTTTAGTCGTATTAACCCGGAGTTGCAGTTTAGACACAGGATGATGCGGGGGGGTGTCTTCCTGGTGCCCTGACCCTTCAGGCACTTTTTCTTTTAAACAAACAAACAAACAAAAAATTAAAAAGAAAAAGGTGGCAAACTTTAAATAAAAACCATGCAATGGTAGGAGTGCCTCTTTCCAACCTTTGGGGATTCAGTTTTGAAAGGAACGTGAGCTGAGCTGCCCCAATATTTCCCCTTTAATTCCACAGGAAAAGCCTTTCACTGTGGCATTCATTCTCTCTCTCTCTCTCTCTCTCTCTCCCTGGCTTTTATTATTACAACTATATATAAGACCAGGTGTTTCGGGTGGGGGTGGGGATAAGAAGAGGTTGGGCTGGGAGGGGACCAAAATGAAAATTGCTAAGAAAGCCTAGCTTCCAAATATTAAAAAATATATATATAAAAAAAACTTGCAGTTATCTCCATTGCCCATTAGTACTAAGATAATGCATCATCTTTCCTCTTCCATAGAATCAGTGGTGCTGGAGAGAAATGTAGTCACATATAATTCTATTTCTTTTGGGGGAAGAGGCGCCTGTGGTGGATGCCTCTTAAAGGAGAAGGACTGGGGCCCAGTTCTTAATTTTTAGTGCCCCTCTCTACCGGCTCCTCCCTCTCAACCTTTGCTCTCTGTTTCTTTGCCAGGAAGGTATGCAGCTAGAGCGTTGGCCTGGGATGTTCTTTTTATACACTCTTAAGTGATCTTGGGACTCCTTTGCACATTAAAAATCTAACTGAAGCCATGTTTTGGTGCCAGAAACACAACATTTCATTAAATGCTTCCTGTATGTTTTAAACAGACAAACAAACAAACAAAAACTTAAGATGAAACCAGTTGTTTTTTTTTAAGGGGTGGGGTGGGGAAGCAACCCGGTGTCTTGATAACAAAACTCTGTATGGAATGTTATTCAGGCTAGAGAGACAGGAGTGCCTGGGGAACATCAATCATTGTGCAAGCTTGCTGGAGTTTTGTTTTGTTATTTTTTTTTTTAGATGCATCTTTTAAAAAAGTGACTTGGGTACAATGAAGTCTTACTAGGATTAAGAAGAATATTTCAGGGATCCTCAATCTTTTGTTGTTGTTGTTGCTTTTGTTTTTATGAATTAAAATTTATCAGATTTGGTGAATATATTTTATCTTAATTTTCTGCGTGTTGTATGTGTCATGGTCAACCATACAGCTGACTGTTAATGAAAGGTTGGGATTCTAGGTCTCTCTGTAAAACACTGTGGTGCACTTAACTTGTGGACTTTTTATACTAAAAACAAGTAGAATAAAGGCTATTTTGAAAATTTGAATAAAGTGACAAAGTTGAATTTAGCCTCTTAAAATTCCTGTCCTTGTAAATACATCTGCTTCTTAGTTCACTGTGCTTACTCAGTGTAAAGTACTGGTTTGTATCCTATTGTGACTCCCAACTAGAGTTGACCAGTTGACCCAGTGAGATTTACAAAGAGCTGACTTACTCTTCAGCAGCTGACTCAGTGGGTCTACACTTCAGCTGAGATTAGCAATGAAATATTGGCCATTGTACATTGTATGATTTCTGGGGCCAAATTACATGTGATGCTAATTGCATCTTCAGAAAAGACATCAATTGTTCATTATAACAATATGAAGTGAGGACGAACAGATTTTCATTGGGATCAAAGAACAGGGAGGAGTTTAAATGCTGTTATTTCCCTATAATGATCCTGATGAAAATACTCTTTATATTGTTCTTAGCTCACACAAAAAAAGTTATAGGTGACAGAGCTTTTTTTTGAGATAAGAGCAGGATGATGTTTTGACTGGGATGTAAATCAATTCCTCTGTTCTACTGTGGTTGTTTTAAAAAAAGAATAGCTGTGGGCTTCCTAGTTACAAATGTTCTATCCCACTTGACCCTTATCTGCTCAGCCTTACAAGGACTGACTGCACTTCTGAAGCTAGAATACTGTAGTTGATCTGTTGAGGCTGAACTAGGTCTTATTTAAGACATGAGTCTTTATCATCCCAATGTCAAATCTTTCTTCCCTTTTCTGTAACATGTCAACATTTATATCACACACTCACGTTGGTGTGTGTTTTCCTATATGAAATGATCAAAGTGACTTCTAGAATGTTAGTTAAAACTATATAAAAGGCATCTCTTGTTTCAGATTTTAAAATGGAAAACCAATTAAAGCAACAGGTCCAGTTCATAGCTTATCTGTTATCCAGAAAGGGTAAGAGTTTGCTCATGGTGCAACTCTCTCAGTCTGCTACCTAATACTGTGTCTCATGGATTCTTAAAGGATGAGGCAGAATCCATCAAGGATATACAGGGCAGCTTAGTGTGCATCTTTCTTCTTTCACTTTTATACTACCCAGTTAGTATGAAGCAGTACTCTGGGCAATTGACAACAAATAAACGCAAAAGTAAGAAATAATCATAAAAATATACAAACAGAGCAATCAATAAAATAGTATAAAACAAATAACACAAGCAGGAGGAATAGTCTGATGACAGGACAAATTAGGCAAGTCCTTAGAGGATGCTACTGAATGCTTCTTTTAAAAATATTGTTTTAAACACCCTTTTAAAGGCAGGAGGCCAGGCATAGCTCAGCTGGGAGCTCATTCCAAAGGGCTGGTGCCCCCGCGGAGAAGGCAACTCCTAGGAATATTACCCATGAAGATCTGATGGCATGGGTGGATGTTCTTGGGGAGAGGCGCTCTGAAAAGTATCCAGGGCCCAAACTTCAGAAAGCGTGAACAAAAATTAAAGCCCGGAGAACTACAAGGTTTTAGTTATTGATCTGGGCTGGGGTAGGTAATGTCTGAGTGGCCCTTTTGTTCTTTGAACTTTGGAGGGACATGCCCTACCTTTGATAATCCCCTAAAAAAAATTTTTATAGCTCCACTTTGGATCAGCTCTGTCCCCACTCTTTGCAGATTGCAGGTATCCAAGTGTAAGAGAGGGTGCAATCAGAAGTGGAAATAGCACACACTTTAGATTGATTGCGGCGTGGTCTCACGCAAACTATTTCCTAGCAATCTCATGAGGTTTGATTGGGCAGCAGTGCTCCATGCTCAACCCTGCTCCGTGCCCAACATGGATGACCATTTTAGCTCAGCAGCAGGACTACTATGTTTTGGGGCTGAGCTGGAGCAATTCCTGGAAGGACTGAAGGGTTGCATTAAAGTGGATGGCTCCTGGAAAAGCAACCCTTTACAGTGTGGTCAGAGGTGGTACTTTCTTGACATCTGATCCCACCCTTAGTTTCTATCTAGCAGAAAGGGCAAAGAAGCTTTGGTTCTTTGTCTACTCTAACTGTTGAGGTTAAACAGAATAAGACAAGTAATGGTTGGTAAGACTTGGACTACAACTCCCACCAGCCCCAGCCAGCACAGCCAGTGATGAGGAATGATGGGAGCTGCACTCCAACCACAGCTAGATAGGACACCTTCTCCATGACTGCCATAGATGATTTCTGCATTATAACTTGAATCTGGAACATTCCAGGACCCCCACCTCTAAAGTCTGTACAGAGGAAAGTTCCCACATTTTAAAAAAATCTATAATTTATATTCCTTTAGAGTTGAAGCACCTCAGATGCGAGCCCACAACCTGATATAAAATGAAATAAATATTAAAAGTTTTCATTTCTCTATTAAATATTTGGCAAACATAAGAAGCATCAAACAGTTTACTGAAGATCACTGTGTCCAAAGTATGCTGGTAAACTAATATCTTCTATATAAAATATTCTTCCTTTTCACCTTTACGAGAGAGGTCTTCCATCTGGATGGACCCCTCAGGATCTGTGTCTGGCCGTTCGTAAGTGTGGTAGCTGCCTTTGTTCTTGTACAGGTAAATGACAATCAGCACAACGACAGAAAGGAGAGTGATGAAAACCACGGCAATAACAGCTTTGAAAGAAAGAAATTGAAAAGCAGAACTTCAGAACAAACAGACTTCAAGGAGATGTAACACTTTCTTAGCCATGGTTACAAGTTCAGGAGCAGGCTGTCTGCATCTACACATCCTTCTCCATCACACAAATCTCCATTTGTTCCATAATAGGTTAAAGTTATGTCTTCACCAGCAACAACTACATTTTTAACCAACTTGCCTCCTTTTAACCAGAGCTTGAAACTTGGGACTGAACCTGACTTACTAGTCCTGCTTAATGATTAACATAGTTACTGCTCTGGCTGGCTGAATGTCTAGAAGCATGTGAGGCTATAGGAATGTTGAAGTAAAACCAGTATGACTTTAGCTCCTCTCTCCATAATTCTTTAGCAGAACCCATAGTACTGATGCACATGTAACACTTGATACAAGTGTAGGATGAGGAATTTATAGAGGGTGAGTGCAGCCCACTCTTGACTAACTGTGGCTAAAAGATAAACTACATCATGCCAGGAGTACCCCAGGTAAATGTGAATCATACACTAGGCTTCCAGGCAAGTTTCTTCTGAAATGGGAATAAGATCTATACTCTTATAATAAGGGTGATCCACCTCGGGTTATGACTGGAGGAACAAGCATGTAGACAGCAGGGTGGATAAAAATCTATGCTTTTTAAAAAAATCAAATTGATTTAAATCACAATTGAAATTTTAAAAAATAACGTTTTAAACTGTCAAAAATCCAGTTTTTAATATCGTGATTTAAATCCATTTGATTTAAATCAAATCCATCCTTATAGGAAGTGACTCTTCTTTAATTAGCCATATTGTATTCTTTGAACTACTGCCACCAATACTACCTTTGGCTGCCTGGCACGTTGAAACAACTACTCTTCACACCAATTTCTACTTAGCAATCTAATCTACATTTCTCTTTCTTGGTGCCTCTAGCAAGGGCATGAAGATGCATTTTTCAGTTTGCCTTTTAAACCATTTTGCTCATTGGTCTGATTTTCCTGGCTCAAATGTTTCAACTTGTTTTTTAGTGATGTTTGCAAGGCTGAATTTTAGTGAAAAGGCTAGATAAGAATACAATGGTTAGAATCCTGTTGGGAATTTACAACAGCATTAAATGTGACTGCATAAACCCTGGCACCACATTACTGCTAACTAATGAATTGCTGTTCACATTGCTAACTACATGCCAGTAGTGCACGAGGAAAGGGAGCAGCCAGCTTGTTAAATAGCAAGAATTTGCTACTGTGATTTATGCATTGACACCTGCAACAGCATGAACCTCCAATAGGATTCAGGCCCATAAATAAGTAAACAAACCAAGGACAGGATTATATACTGTACCTGGTTTCTGCAATAGGATTCTGCACATTTTATGTTAATCATATTGAGCATATAGTCCTGCATCACGCTATGTTTAGCTTTACTTACTGAAATATGCCAGCCATGAAAGTTAGTGTGAGATGCCTAAGGCATGCAGGTGGCAGAAGAGCAGAATTCGGGGATGGGTGTTAAGTTTACAGCGGGCATGGGGAACGTGAAGCTTTCCAGTCACTGGTGGACTACAGCACCCATCCATGCTCAGCATGGGCTCTTGTGGCCAGAGCTGCTAGGCAATGCATTTACCAACATATAAAGGGGACACAATTCCCTGTCTTTGGTGTAGAGTTGTGCAGAAGCTTTACCTAGGACTAGAACCACAGCTCCGATGCATTACCAGCCTGCGTTAATTCCCTTCACTCCGCACTGCCACTTTCTCATTGGTGCTTTCTGCTGAGCTGAAATCTCTTGGGGCATAGCTATGTTTGTTGTAAAATAAACTACCCAGAGTCTTGTGGCACCTTAGAACTTTTAGTTGGTGTAAACTTTGGTGGATTGGAGTACTCTTCATCAGAGGCACTGGGCCAGTCCACATAATTTTACACTATGGTAGATAAAATTTGTCAGTCCATAAGGTCCTACAAGACTCGGTGTTGTTATGACTGCTTTGGAATGCCTCGCTTCTTTAGATCTGCAGTGATACTGCTGTGGGTACCTCCTATGACAGCCATGTTGACGTCCTCTTCTGAAGTTGGTGTATTCATCCTCTTCATAAACGGGGTGGTCAGGAGTTCTTGTGTATGGCAGGAGAAAGAGAGAAGGGTGTCAAGGATATCTTAAACTGTGCAGCGGTGGACAGAGCACTGAAGTTGCAGCACAATTATCCAGTTTTAAAGCCCTGCTCAACAAGAAAGCTTAGTGGGCTTGTAATCTGGCCCCCCCATCTACCTCACAGGGGTGTTAAAGAGATAACAAGTAGAGGTACCATCCATGTTGCCCCAAGCTTCCTGGAGGAAGAATGGGATTAAATATACTGTACTGTTTTACAGAAAAGGATGCTTGCCTCACCACACTTTGCACACTGTCAGAATTGTCTATTTGTTACAGAAAAGGATGCTTGCCTTACCACTTTGCACACTGTCAGAATTGTCTATTTGAAATACTAGAATCTGGTTTGGAGGTTTGTAGTAATTTCAGCAAAACAAACAAATAATGACCTCCAGGAAGATAGGCTGTCCTCTTCATTAAAATGATTACGACCAAGTAGCCTTGACGAGATAAACTGGTACTGGAGGCCAGAATGCTAAAGGACGAAAAAGAGCAATCGAAGCTGATGGGAGACTTGCTCAATTAAAGGTTTCAACATTTGGCTTGGGTTGTAAAGGGCAGAAACAGGTCTAACAGTAGTGCTTTCAAAGATTAGGTCATCAGGCTCTCCCAGTGAATATCTCATTATGAACAACAATCAAGTTGCCAGCAGGAACCAATGTTCTGCCAGAAACTCATTTCTAAAGATTTCCCAAACTTGTCAGTATTCAGTTGTTATCCTTCGGGACCCACACACTGTAGAAGAATGTCTGACATCAAGGGGGATATCATGTAAACAAGAACCTCAGCAGCAGCTCATGTTTTCTCACTGTCCTAAACAAAGTTCTGTCCCCCTGGGATGCAAGAAGAGTAGTGCTCTTCTCTGGGACCTGGCTGCTAATCCAGTCCACCTCCTTCTCTTCCCTTCTTTTCTGAATGAAAAGTCCACTGGTGCAGTCTTATTCAACTCAAGATCAGCAGGAATTGATTTGTTCCCTAACCACTGTATTAGAAGGACTCAGGGCAGATAACAACTATGAAATAAATCCTAGGAATCAATAGATTGGTTTGGTTAGTTGAAATCATTCCAAAATTCTGCTTCGGCTCCACCTTGCCTTCCTTA